TATCATCCATAGACTGCATGTTTAGAGCAAACCCCAAAACCCCAAAACCCCAAAACCCCGTAAGGAGTAAATATTTATATGTGTGAGAAACTTTTTTGTTAATACTTAACTTACTTAAAAATCAATAATTATATTAAATAAATTGGAATGCTTAAATACTTATGTTTTATAATGATTTCGTTTTTACAGGGAATGGATTTAACATGTATGTTTTTACTCTAACTTTAAATAGGCCTTAATCAAGATGAATATTTTTCTGAAAAAACATAGGAATGCTTTAGTATTTTTGAACTGAATAATTTAACTTACTATAGAATGCAGTGAAGCAATATTTGGCTGCAATGAATGTGAAGAAAAATATGACAATTAGAATTAATAGAATTATGTCTATTGCAACTAATGTCAGGATAACTTATATCTATCATTCTGAAACTTTGAATCTAAAGATGGACTTAATATTAGCTTAACTTATTGCATATCAGATTGTAAAACAGCTTCTATTGAACAAATTGGAGATCATGTATCAGGAATGTGTCTAAGTAATTAAACTATAGAAAGATATGTTTAATATAGATTGCGGGCGCCACTGTAATAGTTGCAACTTAAAATATGGGTGCGAGTATTGTAATCCCTAGGCTGATGGGAAAAGTTGGGTTATCTCTAAGATTCTTTCAACTTCTACTAATGATACCATCAAATATAATTAAGTATATCCTAAGATTTATCCATAATTTGGCTATTGCTAATGTACTTTATCTTATCCCATTTTATTCGCACTTTAGAATGCCAAAATCTAGAATTATGCATGGAATGCTCAAATGAGTAACCCTAAGAATGTATGAGATGCGCAGGTCTTGAATCGGATAATTTCTTTTGTTTGACTCCTATCAACGAGTAAGAAAGTAAAGTATGTATTGAAGGTGAGTCTTTAATTAGTGATAATCTGAAGCAATGCTCAGGTAAGAAGACATATTTATTAATAAATTTAGATTGCAATGATGATAATCAGTTTATAAAAACTATCTCAAGATGCACTTTCAAAGATGACGGCCAATAAAATTAAATTGTTTCAGAGATTCTTGCTTGCAAAAATGGGTTTGTCAAGGATGGAGTCTGTGTCCTCAACTGCGGAACAGGATATTACGGGAAGTCATTGTTTGATGAAAGAGGGCTAATAAAACAGTCTTTTTGTCTGAAATGCTCTGATGACTGCTTTGAATGCATTGACTTAGGAAAATGTACTTCATGCTAAAAAGGATTTTATTTATAGACTGAGGTTAATAAAACCTTTGGCTCATGTTTTCCAAAGATACAACAGTACTTTGAGACAACAATCTATGTTGATCCTTTTTTTTCATTTGCTATTCCTTCTAATGATAATACAGGAGTTTACAATAACCCCTTTAGAGATATCTAAACAGCTTTAACAAAAGGGTATGAGTTGGGAGCTAAGTTTCTTCAATCTAAAATTTTCATTATTCTTAAAGCAAGTGAAAACAAGCATCATGCTATGCTCAGATAATATTTAGATTTCAACCTTTCTACAACCTATGACTAGTATTAGTAGTCTACCTAGATTGTTATAGATACTGAAGATCAATAGACACAATTAGTATTATATAAAATGAGAGATAAATGGCGATTTAATGTTGGAGGAGGATTAACAATTAAAAATATAGTATTTGATGCAATAGATTCATCATTGATTCCAGCTAAAGATTAGGCTAATTGTCTTAAAAATGGTTTTTCTAATTGTTGTGAAAGTTCATAATGTCTAAGTTAAGAATAATTGTAAATCCAATATTTAATAGTGATGTTTTTAGGATGCAGAATTGTGAAATTGCTAGCTTCGGCTCGTTCATTAATTTTGATACCAGTCCAATATCTGCTTTGAAAGGTCCATAAACTCTAATCATTTAAGTTAGACTAAATTTCATGTTAACATTTCATTTTAGAATGTTGTATTTAAGAATTTTAACTACAACTTTAATAGCTTAATCCAGCTAAATGAGCAAAGTGGGTTAATTAAGCTAGACAATGTTACTTTTGAGAACATAAATTCATGTGGATCTATAATAGGAAATAAGATACCAAAGATTCTATACAGAGATGTTTAGATTGAAAGTTTTTTAACTGCTACACAGTGGATAATTAATAATATGGAATGGTAGGTATAATAGCTCATTTCCCAGTCTAATTCAAACCTATCATTAAGTGGCTGTGCATAATTCTAAACTGATTCTGATCTCCCTTGTTTTTCAATTGACATCACTAATTCAACTTTCAAAAGCATTGGCTCAATGAAGAAAAGTTTAAATTCAATTTTTATCAACTCGACTACTTAATAATAGCATTATGGAAGTATTTTGGATCTTGAAGATTTTAGAGGAGACATTAAAATTAGAGCTAGTAATTTTACTAAAAATTAGGTCAAATACTAGGGTTGTGTAGCTGCAAAACAAATATACGAAAATTTAAATCCTTAAGTGACAGATTAATATCCTAGCCTTGGAAATAAAACTGAAGTTAAAATACACTCCTTAATTTCAATAACTAACCACAGCTATAATGTAGAATTAATTGGCAATATTTTTGGGGAAAATAGTGGAACAAAAGGAATTATAGACTTAGATATTAATAAGAAGAATGACAATAAAATCCTGATCGCACTTAATTAATTCAAACTTAACTTTGGTTTCTCAGAATCAACAGTTCTCTATATTAATCATAGAGTTGAATAATTGAATCACCTGGAATTGGTTATGGAAAACTAAAATTAGGAAGGATTTTGTTCAGGATTTCATTTAATAAAAAACAACTTTGAATAAAATTTAGGATGTCCGTTATATTCTGGAGGACTTATCAGCTATTAATGTCTTGAAAAGAACTAACCTCCACTAAAAGTAAATGATACATATTCTTTGAATATGCCCACCATAAATTTGGATGAGATTGAATTTGATTGGGTTGAAAAATTGCACAAAACTTAGGTATATTAAGATAATTTACTAGAATATGACTTAAATATGAACTCATTACAGTCAAATATTTACCAGGGTAACTACGGTACTGGCGGAAAAGGACTCATAAGCATTTATGGAAGCTTAAGACTAATATTAAATGGTGAAATTCTAATTAAAAACGGAGAATCCTGTGATGAAATTTTAAACTCTGACTAATTTAGAGTAATATTTGGCACTTACTTCTCTGACTATTTAAGCTTTGTAAATGCTATGAATCAGTTTATTGATTATTAAAATAAATTTGAAAAGTAAGATTTGCTGATGAGATCTCTTTATTTAATCGAAGGTACTGCCTATCTGGAAATTTAATAGCTTATTGTTTAATAAAATTGGATGCTAGAAATAGATTTTCTAATTACAAGAGCTTAGGTAGTTGCACTTGACCATTTTTGGGGGTTATTAATATTTAATAAACTTACTTTGGTAGAACAACAGGGTTATTAAATAATTGCATTAAATTACTAAGATTTGAAAACTAACGATATCAGATATAATGCTTTTATTCATCCTGTGATTTCTTATACTAATAATGTAAATGTAAAGCTTTTGAGTTATTTTAGAGATGAATTGAGCTTAATTAGATGTAGTTTTGTTAAAGTTGAAACTAATCCTGGGCAAACTTTCTTGATAGATCTCAATCAAAATTAGCAATTTTAAGTACCTTCATTATTGATAATAAGTAATATTTATCTTGAACATTTTGACTGTGTTTAATGTGACACAGCTGTATTCAATTTAAAAGCTGATAGAATAAATTTAATTGGAGTTATAATGAAAGATATTGGAAAATTCTATCCGTAGAAGTCTTATGATTATCTTCAATATGCTAATGATTGTTAGTTTTTTAATTTAACTTTAAATGATAGAATTATTTCAACCCAGGAAGATCCCTAATTGCTTTTGTAGGATTTTTATTTAAGTGAAGTTTATCAGTACAAAATCAATTCCCAGATTATTAAAATATCAAGTAATAATCAATATTTTTAAGATGATGATCATTCATAAATCATTAAATTTACAAACATTAGTTTTCAATGGATAGCCTATTATAATGAAAGTTGCTCAATCTTTATAGATGCACCAAATGCTTAACTTAAAATAACTAATATGAGCATTGACATTATTGATAATCTTAAAGGTAAATTTAAAAGTGGATTCATGCTAATAAATGCCTTAAAATCACTTGATATTGAAGGTCTGAATGCCAACAAAATTGTTTAATTATCTGAGAACAACCTAGAGAGAGCTGCTTCACTTATTTTTGCAGAAAATTTGCAATCAGATTTTGATTTTAAACTCTCATCATCACATATTGCACTAAGTGAATATGATAATAGTGAAACTTGGTTACTTTATTAACCTCTATTTTACTTTACTAGTCTAAACTCAACAATAAGGGCAAATTTTTACTCTAACCAAATCGGTAACTGCTACAAAATTCGCACGGCATTAATATATCTTGGGTCTGAGGTAAAATCTATACTTAATGCTTATGACAATACTTTTGATGAAATTGGAACTCAATCTAATGGTGGGGTATTTTACTGCAAAAATTGCGAGATTCAACAATTTGAACTAAATATATGCAATAAGATTAGCAGTCTAAATGGAGGTGTACTTTACATTGATAATCCTCTTAGCAATATAACCTTAGTTAATAATGCATTAGGGGAGTCTTCTGGTATCTAAAGAGGTGGTTTTATTTACATTAATGATTCAAATCAGACTGAAGGTGTTATAAAAATATCTGTTCTATCAACTATTGACTCAATGGAAAATTAAGTTTATGTGAGCACATCATTTGGATCAATAATATATATCGAATCATAAAGATCAGTTGATATATTAATAGAAAATATCAAAGTGAGATTTTATTAAGATTCATAAATGGTTTAAGCTGATTAATAAGGGTATTTTATATGTGCAAATTAATCATCTGCATTATAAGAATAAGGTGTTGGAGGTAATTTCACAATTACAATAAAAAACGTTATTTCATACGAAAAAGGATTAATTGCTCAAGGTGCAATTTTATAGGTGTAGCATATTATTCAAAATCTTTTTGTCTAAATAGAAGACTCATTCATCAGTAACTATGAAACCTCATTACTTGGAATGGACCTTAATGGAACAGTCATTTATGCTAACGTGGTCGATTCTATTCAAATCGTTATACTAAATTCTGAATTCACTAGTTTAACGAACTATTAAAGCTCCGGAGCTTTAATGTATTTGAAAGCTAAAGAAATAGATGTTTAAATAACAGACTCTAAATTTGAGAACATTCGGTCGTAACATACAGGTACATTATCTGTTCTAGTTGCTTCAGAAATGACTTCAGTTTTAGTAGACAATTCAGTATTTATGTAATTTGGAGAAGAGAACACTTATGATGGAGGAGTTTTTCTGTTTGAAGGAAATAGAGGAGAGCTGATTATCTAAAATCAAACATATTTCGGAAATATATTGTCAATGAACTAAGGAGGAATAGCATACTTTGACACTGAGTATTGCAATTTGACTATTAAAGATTCAGAGTTCTAAAATATCTATTGGATTTCAGATGGAGGTGGATTTGTTCATATGAAAGGACTTTACAATTAAGTAAATTTGTTTAATGTGAAACTATATCAAGATTATCAGGAATCATAAATTACACAAATCGGTTAAATCTATATGGGTGGTCTTGAGGAAAATGTTATTAGTATCAGACAATCAAATTTCAAGAACTTAATTCATTTTAATCGAGGGTCTCTATTATGCCTCAATGGTAAAAATCAGTTTGTAGAATTTTAGGATGTTTTATTGGATAATACTGCTTCAGGTAATGGAGTTAAAGCAGATTATGGAGGTGTAATATATTCATCCTCAGATACTACTAACTTCACTTTATTATGCCAAAATAGTGAGTTTATTTAGATAAGTTCTCAACTTCAGGGTTCGTTTTTATACATAGAACCTAAAGCTAATCCAGCTATAAATATTACCTTGATAAGTAACTATTTTTAAATAGGATAATTAGAAGAAGGGTATGAGAGTTACTATTAACAATTCAGGTAAATGACCCTTCAAATTGAAGATGTTATATTAGTGGGAGGATTGTTCTATATTTAATATGGTTCAGGAACTCTTTATACTGAAGAAAATAAATTTTAAGCAATAACACCAACAAAGCTTGCATCAGTATTTTACTTGCCAAAAAACTTCACAATATAAGATAAAAGGTCATTCTACTACTAATGCGAGGGTGAGTACGGGATATTTTTCTGTGATAATTGCACATTACTTCTAGATGAGATTACAGTGATCAACTGGCAAGCAAACGCTGGAGGATTAGTCTTTATGATAGATGAGGCAGATGTATTAATTGTTAATTCAATTCTAAACTTTGGATAAGTAAGAAATTAAGGAGGAACAATTTATGCAAATGGCACTGGCAAATCTACTATAACTTTTAGAAATACAACTTTCTTCTAGGTATATTCTTACGCTATCGGGGGCTTGATTTTTGCGAATAATCCTTATCTCTAAATAATAATCGATAATGTTACAATGAGTTATGTCTTTGCTGCAGTTTCAGGGGGATTTATATATGTATAATAAACTAGAGATATAAAAATATCGAATTCTACAGGAACATTTTTGTATAACGGAATTACATTAGGTAGCTTAATTATAAGTGATTTTGAAGGTCTCACTATTCAACTTGATAATAACTTTTTTGAAGGTTTATAATTGCAGAATTATGATTGGATAGCTAATGCTTTTGAAAATATTTTAGGATTCTCGTTAATTATGAAGTCAGCATTCAGTTTTACTAATGCAAAGAGCATCTATTCCTTCAATAATAAATTCATAAACTTTAATGTTGCTTTTTCGGGATGTATATTTTCAATAAAAAATACAGAAGTTTTTAGGGATGAGAAGTCTTATTATAACTTTCTAGCATCTCTAAATGGAGGAGTTTTTGAAATGTCAAATGTTACATAAATCCTAGTAGTAGATTCTATTTTTGATAACTCTACTGCTAATAATGGTGGTATTTTCTATTTGTCTGACAGCTTTAATACAAGCATACTGAATTGTTCAATTAAAAATGTAAGAGTTCATCAAGCTGGAGGACTTATATATATTAAGAATGAGCATTTTTTAAATTTGAAATCCTACCTAAACATCTAAGGTTAAAATATGCAGGAGCATATAAATTTCAAATCTAATGGAAATGGAACTTTAATTTACTCCAATGATCCAACATTAGAAATCAGTATCGTTAATTATAAAGCCACTAATTTCAAAGCTAGTTAAAATGGAGGTCTAATCTTTATAGAATAAGCCAATTCAGTCTTTATAAACAATTTAGACATTTCCGATATTTAAGCGCTAATCAGAGGTTCAATCATTTATTCAATTTATACAACTGTTCAGATTAAAGTGTAAAATAGTATTTTTATTCAGAGTAATGATGATGGATATAATATGACCTAGATAAAATAAGACTATTAAAATAGTATGTTTGAACTGACTACTGGCACTGGTGGAGCTTTTTACATCCAAAATACTGAGAGTATGATTGAGATTAATAATATTACAGTTCAAAACTTTCATAATGTTTATCAAGGCGGAGTATTTTACATAAAAAACGCTTCTTTGCAAGATGTTGGGTCGAAATATCTGTAGAATTTCGCCTATCAAGGAGGGTTTTTATATTGCCAAAACTGTAAAATGCTAATATTTACCTCTAAATTTGATAACTAATCAGGAATCTGGGGAGGTGTGATCTACTCCTTAGAATAGACAAGGATTAAAATATTTTAATCAAGTTTTATAAATACTTATGTTCTTATTGCTGGTGGTTTTCTTTACAATGATAGGATGCTTAATTCAGAATCAGAAGATATATAAAGCTAAAATTCCACTCTCAAGTTTTATGATACAATCTTGATATCAAACTTTTAAAGTGATGGGTTTTCAGCAGGATTCCATTTAAATAACCCCTTTTTTTCTTTGCTGATGAATAATTCAATGATAACTTTAGAGAATATTAGGTCTAATTCAGATGGAAATGTATTTTATGTTTAAAGTGCTAATAGGATTGAAATTGATGGAATTATAGCTAGTAATGTCAAATCTTTAAATGGTCAAGGCTCATTTATATTTTCAAGTCAATCTAATGCTTAAATTATCATTAAAAATTCTATAGTTAACTGTCAAAATAGTTTGGAGGAAGACATATATTTTACTTACGGTTAGACATTAAGAGGAAGCGCTATTTCTTTTTCTTTTAGCAACATCCCCTTGATTTCAGAGAACAATAACTTCAAATACTGCTAAAACATTTAATAAGGAGGTATATTTAAGCTCTAACAATCAGAATTACAAGATT